TTCCTGTGATGTTTGTTCATGGTTCCTGTGATGTTTGTTCATGGTTCCTGTGATGTTTGTTCATGGTTCCTGTGATGTTTGTACATGGTTCCTGTGATGTTTGTTCATGGTTCCTGTGATGTTTGTACATGGTTCCTGTGATGTTTGTTCATGGTTCCTGTGATGTTTGTTCATGGTTCGATCCTGTGATGTTTGTTTACGAGAGATTACGAAAACATCCCAGAGCCAGCAGAAATGTGGTGTCTTTGGAGACTGGAGAATTTGACGGAAGGAACAGAAATCAGATAAGGTAGTAGAGAAAGGAGTCGGAGTGAGCTGGTGTTCACAAACACTAGTCAGAAGAGACAATACAAGTCCAAGCACTCTTGAACCGACATAAAAGCCTTGAAAAGACTTTCTCTCCCTGGAGGTACAGATGGCCAAAGAGGCAGAGGTTGACAAAAGATTTCTCACGTTGTACTTGCTGAGCTGGACAACTCCAGGATCACACTCAGTGTAGGTTTTTGGACAGTAGTGGAGCAGAGAAATGAGTTGGGGAGCCATGATTGATGATATCTGTTTGAGATCTGCTACTTGAAGAAGAAGAAAAAGAAGGAGGAGGAGGAGGATCCTTATCTCTCCACCTTCTTTTCTTTGTATGTTACTCTTTACTGACACGTCTAATCTGTGGCACTTGTATCACCTACTTTTGTTGTAAAGTTGTTTGGCTTGCGTTATTCCTTGCTTTTTTCCCCTCACAGGCGAAGGTCTGCTTCTGTCCAGAGAAAAGTACGAGGCGACGTCCTTGCAGCTTTATTCCTTGACGGAGAGACTCAAACTCCCGGAGCCAACCTGTGGTGGGTACACTTTGGTTCTTGAGTCGCTACAGCTAATGGTACAGGGGAACTTGTGGTGGCTACACTTTGGTTCATGAGTCGCTACAGCTAACGGTACAGGGGAACTTGTGGTGGTTACACTTTGGTTCATGAGTTGCTTTGGGTACACTTTGGTTCATGAGTCACTACAGCTAACGGTACAGG